CCTCCCTCGCGTCCCGCAGGGCTTCGGGTAACGAGGCTCCATTCACTGAAGGCTGCTTCTGCCCAGAGGGCAGGTCGCTGTTCAGCAGGAGCTCGGAGGTCTGCGTGCCCGACGACTGCGCCAGTACGTCCCCGGGGCTGGGAACCCACGACCCCCTCGGGGTCTGTTCTGCTCAGCCAGACTCCAGAGCTTCCCACCATGGCCTGGTCCACCCCAGCCCCTGGTCCCTGGCCCCCAGCATGAGGTCTGCCCCTGACGGGTTGGGGGCTGTGGCTGCCCAGCCTGACCTCCATCTCTCTCCTTGCAGGTTGTCTGGGGCCCCACGGGGAGCCTGTGGAGGTGAGCTCAGCACCCTCAGGGGCTGGGGGCTTCTTCTCTGCACCAGAGGCTCAGAGGAGAGGCAGGGAGGTGGGCAGAGCCTTCCCAGCAAGACCCAGGAGGCTTCCATGTGCGGGTGCCCATAGGCCCCCGTAGGAGAGTGTGGGTGCCGGCCCCAGCCAGGCCGTGCCCCGTCCTCCATGGAGAGCCCTCCTGCCCTGTGAAGGTGGGAGTGGCGAGGAGGGAGGCCGGTCGCCCACACAGCTCCCCGGTCCCTGTCTCCCGGCCCCTGTGGGCCCCACGGAGCCCCAGCGGCCCTCAGCCGCCTGCTCCCTGCTCTTCCTGCCGGCTGCTGCTGCTCCGGGGCAGACGGGTGACCGACAGCTGGGGCCCACACGTCCCTCCCCTTACAGCCCGGCCACACTGTTCACATCGACTGCCAGGAGTGCACCTGCGAGGGCAGCTCCCAGACTATGCGCTGCCAGAATCAGGCCTGCCCGCCACCCCCCGCCTGCCCCGAGCCCGGCTTCACGCCTGAGCCTGCAGACCCGCAGCCCGGGCAGTGTTGTCCCCAGTACCACTGTGGTAAGTCGGGGCGTGTGGGGGTCACACACGCACTGGCTCAGGGCTGGCCAGCTTTGCCCTGAGGGTCCCGAGGTCCTGGTGCTGCCTCTCCTCCCTCCCAGTGTGGCCCCATCTGGTGACCTCCCGAGGGAAGGCTCGGGGGTGTGGGCATACCACGAGGTCAGGGTCTCCTCCGCCCCGGCTGAGAGCCCACCACCTGCCCACTGGGTGGTCAGCGCTCAGCACTCAGGCTGGGGTGGGCGAACACGGGCAGAGTGGAAGGCAGGCCTCCTGACGCCCCCTCCTGTCCACTCTCTGCAGCCTGCAACACCAGTTACTGCCCCCAGCCCGTGGGCTGCCCCGAGGGCGCCCGCTCCATCCTGACGCACAAGGAGGGGGCTTGCTGCCCGAGCCAAAGCTGCAGTGAGTGTCCTGGCTCAGGGCCCCTGGGGTGGCCGTCACCAAGCAGTTGTCCAGGGGCCGGGACGCAGTCCTGACGGGTGGGGGCGCGGCTGCGCAGGAGGAGGTGGGGGTGGGGTGCTGGGTGATAAGGGTGGCCCTGCAGGTCTGCTTGTCTCCCCCGAGCAGGCTGGACCGTCTGCAGCGTCAACAGCACTTTGTACCAGGTAAGAACCAGCCGGAGGTCAAGACCCCCGCGGCATACCGGGAGCGGAGGGCCCTGGGCCGGCCAGCTTCTCCCCGAGGCGGGGTCCCCACCTCCGTTTCCCTGGCCAGATCCTTGAGAGCTCGTGACCTCCCTGAGGTGCAGCCTTGGGGGTCTGTCCCTGAAGCAGGGAGGAGGCACTACCGAGGGTCGCCCCGGGCGGGGCGAGTCAGCCCGGCGGGGCCAGGCCTGGAGGCAGGGGTACCAGGCCCACTGCGGCTCGCTCACACTGGTCACCCTGGCTCCCCCAGCCTGGCGCCGTGGTCTCTTCCAACCTGTGCGAAACCTGTCGGTGTGAGGTGCCCGGGGGCCCCCAGCCGGACACGTTCGTGATCAGCTGTGAGACCCAGATCTGCAACACCCAGTGCCCGGCGGTAAGTGCCCGTGCCCACACCCCCGCCCCGGCAGCGCCCAGCCCGGGCTCAGGCCATACATCTGTGCCTCCCTGCAGGGCTTCGAGTACCAGGTGCAAGGCAGCCAGTGCTGCGGCTCGTGTGTGCAGGTGGCCTGTGTCGCGAACGTCAGCGACGGCTCTGCCATCCTCGTTCCTGTGAGTAGCAGCCACAGGGCCCAGCCCGAGGGCTTCAGGGTCTTGGGGTGACTTTGGGGCAGGGCAGGCCGCGGGCTCCAGGGAGGCCAGGACTCGGGGCCAGCCCCACCCTCCAGAGGGCCATGAGCCCACAGGACGGTGCGGTGCCGGGTGGGCAGTGTCCTGGTGCACCGGGGCCCTGGAGAGCCGTCAGTGCAAGGCCCACCCAGGGCAGAGGCCAGGGGGACCTCCGGAGGCCCTGGGGCTGGGTGCTAGCAGACAGACGCTGCGCCCTCCCCTGCTGGAGCAAGGGCCCTGGGGATGGCCCCTCACCTGCCGGTCGGCCTCCTTGCAGCCCGGTGAGTCCTGGTCAGACCCCGACAGCCCCTGCGTGACACACAAGTGTGAGAAGCAGCGGGATGTGCTCGTGGTGACGACCGTAAGGAAGGAGTGCCCCCCCCTCAGCTGCTCGGTGGTGAGTCCCGGCAGCCTGCCCTGCCCAGCGGGGCTGACAGGGGCCACGGGAGGGCCAGGCCCTGGACGGGACGGGATGGCCATGGGTGGCCTGGCGCAGTGGGGCAGGGGTGCCGCCTCCTGCGTGGGGCGCTGCCCACGCCTGTCTGAGCCTGGCCTGTGTCCCGCTCCCCGTTTCCACGGGGGCTGCCCCAGCACTGACACACTTTGCCCGCACAGGACAAGGCTAGCTTGAGTGAGGACGGATGCTGCCTCTTATGCAACGCCAGCGGTGAGTGGGCGTGTCTGTGGGGGTGGAAGGCAGGGCACTGATTCCCACCTGCCTGGAGGGAGGCCGGGAGTGCCCGCCGGGGCTGACCCTCTGCCCCGCCTCCCGCGTCCTGTCCCTCCCCAGGGTCCAGCTGCTCCGTGCACCACAAGCACCAGGTCCTCCAGCAGCAGGGCTGCAGCTCCCCCGAGCCTGTGCGCCTCTCCTATTGCCAGGGCAAATGTGGGGACACCGCCTCCATGTACGTGAGCCCCTACCTTGGTCCGGCCCAGGAGCTCCTGCAGGCAGTGTTGGGGAAGACACAGCCTGTGCCCCCCCAGGGCTCGGGGCAGGCGGATGAGGTGGTGGTGAAGGGGCAGGAATGGGGGAGCTGTAACTGCCACCCCAGACAGCAGGGTCCTGCGGCTGGGTGGGGGGCTGGGCTGGGCTGGGGAATCATGCCCTTCTGTTGACTGAGACCCCAGACTAGGGGTCCCTGTTCATGGCTTGTGGGACAAGTGGTTGTTGGGAGCCTCGGGGGGCTGGGATTGAGCCACGGTGACTGGCACATGGAGCCGCAGCGAAAGGCTGTCCACCTGCCTCCAGAGCAGTGGTAGTGCGGGTGCTGCGGGGGCCGGGCGGCCCCGTAGGCAGCGCCAGTGCTGAGCCGGCCCTGTCCACAGGTACTCGCTGGAAGCCAGCGGGGCGCCGAACAGCTGCCGGTGCTGTCAGGAGCTGCGGGTGTCTCGGAGGAACGTGACGCTGCACTGCGCCGACGGCTCCCGCAGGGCCATCAGCTACGCTGAAGTGGAGGAGTGTGGCTGTGTGGGCCAGAGGTGCGACTCGCCTGGAGACCTCAGCCACTCGGAGGAGTGGGAGCCTGAGCAGAGCGAGGAGCAGAGCGAGGAGCACAGTGAGGAGCACAGCGAGGAGCAGAGCGAGGAGGAGGCGTGGCAGAAGCACCGGGGAACAGGGGCCCTGGGTCCCAGGCCTCTCCAGTAGACAGCCAGAGCCCTGCCCTCCAGGCCCCGGCGGCCTCCCTCCTGGACACTCAACCAGAGCGTTCTCCGGTGATCCAAGTCTGCGGTGCACTGTCCACCCGTCTCCGCCCTCTCCAGGGTCTGGCCCGCCCCGGATGTGCAGTGGCCCTGAAGGACCTGCAGCCCCTGCTCATCACCAGCCGGGGCGGGCGGGGGTCCTCTGGCTGGGGTTCCAGCCTGCTCTCCCCAGGCTTCAGCCTCACATAAGGGCCTGACCCTCGATGGGCACTTGGACCTGGCAGCTGTCTGCGCTGCCGGCCACTGGGAGGCCGAGCCTCACCCCTGCCTCGGCCCTGGGCCTCGGGAAAGGGCCATGGGCTTTCTAAATACACCAGGAGCATTTTGCAGCTTGTGGACTCGATGTGATTTTTAAGCTTGTCCATAAAACGCAGGAGCAGGGAGCGGGGCAGATGCGGGCCGGGGCTGCCTGGGGAGGCCTGCTGCCCCGTGTTCCATGCGCTCAGACAGACGGAGGGTGTGCGTGAGGGGGTGAGGGAGGGGGCCCCATGGGGCGCACCCAGGGACTCAAGACTGGCATCCCTGGCCCGTCAGATGGGAGGGCTCCGTCTTCGCCCTGCAAACTCCAGCTCTCTCATCACACTGAAGCCGAGCTCAGCGTGCGATGCACGTGTGTGTGTGTGCGCGCACCCTCAGGCCCACGGGAGACCATGCCCTCAGAGGTCCTGTCGCGCGCCATCTTCCCCTAACCCACCCTGAGAACTGTGTTCCTAGAGCCCAGCCCCCTCTGCCTTGGAGGCCTTGGGGGAGCCCTGGACACCCAGGCCTCAGGCTGGGCCCAGCCCCACAGCAGCGCTGGGAGGGTCGGCCAGGCTGCCCCGTGCTCTGAGGGCCTGGCCGGGGGATTCCCGCCGGGTGTGGCAGGGTGGCAGACGGTTCAGGACAGCGTCCAGCACAGGAAAGCTGGTGGCTGTCCCAAGCCCCACAGCCCAAGCATGGGGAGGGGGACCCGTAGACGAGCCAGCAGGGTCTGGGCCCAGCCAGCTGGCTCCGGCCGTTGCTGGGAGGCCAGCCTGACCTGGAACCTGTGGGGCAGGGGGCCCGCAGGCTGGAGAGTGCTGGCCACCGGGGTCGTCCTGGGGCTCAGGGTCCTGCGGGGCCTCCTATCGCCCCACACATCCCAGTGCCCTTCTCCTGGGCCAGAGGGGGCTTCGAGGATCTGTGGACACCGGGCAGGGGCTGGAGTGGCCGGGCAGGGGCAGATGCAGGGCCGGGGCGGATGCCTCACCTCCTGTGCTCCTTGACAACGAGAGGGAGACGGGCTGCCGGCCGTCCTCTTGCTGACCCCTCATCTCACAGAGGGAGGCTGGGGCCTGGGCGGGCAGCTTGCGGGTGCTCAGTGGTGGGGACAGCGGAAGCTGGACTTGCGTCCTTTGTCTCCTGCCCCAGCTCCTGGAACTAGGTGCCCTCTGAGTCCACCTCACGCTGCCTTGGTTACTCAGACCCAGGCTGAGCTGCGACTGGGGGCCGGTGGGGTTCGGGACGGTGGCACCAAATTTCCCTCCAGGCCCTGGCTGCAGTCCCTGTGGCCGTCACAAGGTGGCAGCACGGTGGTCCCAGTGTCTCCAGCTGGGACCAGGGGCTCAGGAAGAGGAGTTGGGGGCGTAGGGGCCCTGGGAGGCAGCTGATGTCCTCCGAGGCTGGGCGGTCCCACAGGGCCAGCGGGGCCGCGAGGACCCCGCACTGGGGTGAGGGCCACCCCTTACAGTCTGTGCAGCGTGCCCACCTGGCCAGCACTGCCCCCCGCCCACTGTCTGCCCCGTCCTGCCGGGCGAGGCCTGAGCACAATGTCCAGTTGCCCGGCCGCCCGCCCGACCCCGCTGTCTGCTCTGGCCGCTTGGGGAGTGGCACTGACAGCGCGGCCGGTCAGAGACCAAGTGGGTGCCCAGGGACCCCCGGCCGTGACACCACGACCCCTTGGGCCCAGGGGACCCCGAGTGAGAAGGGAGACATCCTTCTTGGGAGCAGGAAATTCTTAGCCCTTTGGGTCCGGAATCCTCTGCCCCAGTGACCAGCTGACCCCGCAGCCACAGACTGCACCTGAAGCAGCCCACTGTCCACACCCCCAGGGGAGCGGGTGTCGCAGCAGCCACCACTTCCTCTCCAGGGGGACGGACGGACGCCTCCCCCATGCTCCACGACTGACCCCTCACCCCCCAGGGAGCGCGCGCCCCGCCCCGCCCGGAACCGAGGCCGGCCAGCAGGAGTAACCGGATAGCGGGCCCTTGCTGCCACCCCAGGCCCGCAGCCCTGGCTGGGTTACGCAAGTCATCATTTCCCCGAAAGAGCGGCGAAGCTGGACGTGGCCCACTGAGGCCACCATGGCCCAGCCCACAGGGCGGCTCCTCCAGTCTGTGCTTGAGCCCCCACCCCTCCTGGATGCTGGGAGGGGAGGGGGAGTGACTTGTCCCTGCTGGGGCCTGTGAGCCAGGGCTGGCCTGGACAGCTTGCGACCGCCTCCTGCAGCTCCCCGCGGAGTCTGGCCTTGGCAGGGCCGTCCGTTCAGGGGCTGCGTGCGGTGTTCACGGTTCTGGGTTCTGCTCCGGATGGATGGCGAAGGCATGTGCCACCCTTGTGCTGGGGGTTCCCGGAGATGGGGGATAAGAGGGACAGGGACACAGACAAGGACACCGGGCAGCCTGTGACTTGGGGGTGGGTCGGGACACAGCCACCTCCTGACCGTGGCCCCCAGCACGCCCAGCCGCCCAGGGACACTTGGAACCCTGGCCCAGATCCACTGGAGAAGGCTGCTTGGTCTGAGGCCAGAGCCAGGTGTCAGTGGCTGGCCGGGTCCCGGGCACACATGGGCCACAGCTCTGACCTCTTCCGCCACAGACCTGGCCCTTGGCAGTGGGTTGGCTCTTCACAGCTGACCCAGCGGGGTACGCGGGACACGGAAAGGGCAGGGCGCAGCGGGGAGGGTGTGGTACACAGGCACCTCCGTCCTCAGAGGATGCCGGCACGGTCATGGCCAAATCTGCATGGACGGGAGAGGTCCTCAGACGTCCGGACAAAGAAGATCAGCGGGAGCTGCCTGGCCAGTGCAGGAGGGGCCAGGGCTGCACTGGAAGTTGTGCCACATGGCAGCTCTTGGATCAGAGGAGCCGACGGCCCCGAGGAGAGCCTGCTTAGGGGCCTGTCCTGTGGGGAGCCGCATGCAAGCCTGGCGCTGGGGAGGGGAGGGGACAGACCACTGGGAAGAAGAACATGCACGGCCACGGCCACCCCGGGGCAGCAAAGCAGAGGCTGGGCTTGGACAGCCACTCAGAGGCCAGCTTGGGAGGGAGGGCAGGATGGAGCCTGGGCAGGCGCCTGGCAGGACCAGGGTCAGAGGTGGGGGACGCGAGAGTGCCCGAGGTGGGTGGAAGAGGGGCTGGAAGGCCGCTGGGCCGGGCCCACTGGGACCTCGGGTCAGTCAGAACCAAGCCTTGGCTGTGGGTGAGGGGCGCCAGGGGACCGGGCAGCGGTGGCCGAGGTCCACCTTGTCTGTCAGGTGCCCACTGCTGGGTGAGGGCGGGTAGAGGGGGTGAGGGAAGAGCAGGAGACCAGTGGGGCTCGGCGGGGGAGGGGCTCCGAGGTACAGGGGACAGGCCAGTCGATGGACCAGGGGTGGGAGGCGGTGATGGGTGGAGAGACAGGACCCCTCCCTCAGGGGGAAGGCCCGGGTAGCTGGGGGAGGGGCTGGGCCACACTGCGTTTGACCGCTAGACGCCTCGCGGGGATGCTGGGGGGCTGGTGGACGTGTGGTTCAGGGGCTGGGCAGGAGGTTGGGAGGCGGGCAGGGGTGAGAATGGGAGGAGGCGGAGCTTCGGCTCCTCAGGTGAGGGGACTGTCAAGGCAGTGGGTGCAGATTGAAAAGGAAGGGGGGAAGGTGGGTCTCCTCCGCCCTGGGCTCCAGGAGACTCAGGCCCTTGGGAGGGAGGACCTCGCCGCCGTGGGAAGACGTGGGAGGCTGGCTCTGTGGCGGGAGGCGGGGAGGCAGCCCTTCCACAGGGCGCTGGCAACAACCGGGCTCTGATGAGACCGACTCTGGTCTGCTGTTCACCGGCCTGAGGGCAGGACGGCCGACCTGGGCTCTCTCCCGCTCATAAAACCCACCTTGATGGGCACACCAGGTTTCCATCTCCTTCCAGAACAGAATAAAAATAAAACGTCAGGCTGTTACAGTGTAAAGCCCGTGTGTGTCCAGAGTTCAGGGGGAAAATGTGTTTATGACTCAGGCTCCCAGAGCCAGGCTGGGACGGACAGTGGGACGTGGGTGGTGCTGGAAGCCGCGAAACAAAACCAAAGACCGGAAATCAGCCCAGAGCTCGGATGTGCAGGATGAGGCGTGCTTCCAACGGGGAGCACGGGCTCTGTGCGATCAGTGATCAGCCTGTGACTCAAGGCCGCCGCCTGGCCCAGCGCCCGCCCCAGGGGAACTGGGGCTGAGCAGGGAGCTGTCTGGGCAGGGCAGGCAGGAGGGGCCCCCAGGCAGGTCCGAGCGGACTCTGCTGGACGTGAACCACCCCTCCTCCAAGACAAATGGCCTGGGTGTCTCCCCCATGGGGTCAGGGACTTGGTGCCCCCCACTGCCAAGTGGACAGGCCCTGAGGGGTCCTCTTGCACCCACACCAAGGTCAGGGCCACCCTGTCCTGTGACTGCCCCCACCCCCACCCCCATGCAGTGAAGGAGCAGGTGGGACGCCCTCGGGGCACAGCCTGTCAGCAAATGCTGCTCGTTTGAGGGGACCCAGTGCACTGGAGGCCATGAAGGGCCGGAAATCCCCAGGGGCATGGGTGTCCCGCCCCTGCCTGGGGCTCCCCCCGGCCCTTCCTGCTCCCTGCAGAGAAGCCAGTCCCAGGAGCACCCCGTGTGCACACAGCAGACTGGGTGTCTGGACACTGTCCCGCGGGTGAGGGCGGTGGCCTGGGCCTCACGGCCCCTAGACTCAGGCTCGCCTGCCCCAGGCTGCGTCCCCGGGGTGGAGGGGCGTCAGCCCCGTCTCAGACCCAGCCCCTTCCTGCACGCCCCCCACCCAGCCCTCAGCCTCCAGCCCCGACGGGGCCTCAGCAGGGAGTGGGGCTGGGGCTCCACCTCTGGGGTGGGGTCTCCGCTTCCTGCTGGCCACATCCTGGACAAGTTTCCTCTCGCCCTTGGCTGATGGCCCCTGAGTGTCCACAGTCCCACGAGGGGACCGTTCAGTGTCTTGTGGGACCAAGAACCCAGGTCCTGCGAGAGCAGTGGGAGCAGGCCTGCTGCTCCAGGCCACGCCGAGCTCCCAGTGGGCCTGGGCCTCCCACCCGGGGCTCCCACCTCCCCGCCTCTCCTCCTG